TATATATATATATATATATATATATTCACATCAAGCTATCTTTAGGGAGTGATCCAAAGGAAGATTCTTTTTTAATCAAGAAGTTCACGCATAAGAAAGGACTAATCCCTCAGTATTTCTATCTAATTTTTTTTTTAACTATTTGAAGTAGAATTAAACTCAAAGACTAACATGAGAGCACTTATGACCAACCATCTCTTCTTATACTTGAAGCCTTAGTTGTAGTAATTAAGTCTACAATACATATAGATGAGAATCAACCACAACATTCGAGTACATGTTTTATTAGCAGTTACTTCCATACATTTATTAAGGTATATTTTCAAGTTATTTTGGTGTTTAAATTATTTTAAAAATGACTAGTTAAGAAATAATAAATAAATAGTTTGAAAAATATATAAGAAGAAATTTAGCTTATAAGCTTTAAATAATTTTTATTAGTCAGTTATATGCCTGAGTTACCAATCATCTTCATCATAATATAGATCATAATGAATTTTAGTTAACTTGATTTTTTTTTTATATTCTTATAAGAATTTTAAATATGAAAGTAGAATATTAATAGTACAATTATAATTCCTTAAGAAATTTGTATATACAAAGATAAATTATTTTTTTGGTGATATTTGACATTTGTTTTAAAATAGATTCCACGAGTATTCTAGATATAATATCCTATTTTATGACTATTTTTCTATGATTTTTGAAGTTTCATATTTCAAGATATGAAATAATCTATAAGAATATTACAATTAAGATCAAATAAGTTTTAAATTTATATAAATATCCATGATAAACTTTTTTATATGCATTGTAGTAAAATTCTATTTTGAGAATCCTCATATCATCCCTTTAATTTACCTAAATTGTAAGAACAAAAGAAGAAAAAGATGGGAAAAAAGAGAGGGAGAGAGATGATGAGAGTTTTAGGGAGGTCTTAACTCAATTTTTATTAGACGGGATAGTTTTGAAAGTTAATAGACTCAAAGTAGGCTATCATTACCCTACCTTTATTTTCAGTGATTTTATTTTTTGTGATATTTCCAAATTTTTATTTGTCCAAAACTTGTCAACATTACAACATTTCAATGTTTATCTAAAACTTGCTTGTAAAATAAGTTTTAGCATAAGTAAATTGAAATTTCACTATTTTTTTAAGTATGTTCTCTGAGTGCTATAAGTTTATTTTAAAAATTGATAAAGAAGCTATATTTTGGCATTGGCATATAGAAGATCACTTGTAAGTTTATTTTGAAATTCCTGTTATGTTTTATGCATTTTTATTAAGCCCATTGTTACATGTTGTGTAGACTACACTATTTTGATTAGCATATAAGTTTTGCATTTACTATGATTGCTATGATTATAAAAATAATGAGTGTGATATTGCTTGTTAAATATGCTTTGAGCATTGTGAAATGTGTGTATACAAAAAAATATGATTGTTATGATTCAAATTGGGTGAGATATGATATCCTATACATAAGAGTAGATTGATGGACTTTCTCTTAAATGGGTTAGTGATATAAATCTGATATATGTTATAAATTATAAGGGGTGAATATGATATGATATGATTATTAACAAGTTGGGGGACAACTTATACCACTATATTGTTCTTCTTGATATGCTATGACATGATATTATACTTGTCAAACTATGATTGTTATAAGAAAAAAATCACTTGTGATTAATCAGAGCACCTGACTTGCATAATATATGTGTAATGATAAATAAACTTGATGCTATGAGCCATGCATACTACATATATTATATATGATTTAATCATCACGATTTATATTTTCACAATATGCATATTCATGTTTGACGACATACAAACTTACTAATTTAGTATACATGAAATGTTTATGATGAAATCATGCATATTATTCAATATTCATATATTAATTTCAATTATAAGTTTCATATAACCCACTGAGTTGTTCGCTCTTTTTTGTTGCATTTACATATTTTTAGAAAATGACAGGGCTCCAGTGGAGTGAGGGGATAGTACTCAATGATAAATATTCATTTTGTAATATTTAATATGTATTTGTGATCATGATGACAAATTTATGTTTAGTTGGGATTGTTAGAAATTATAATTATTAGTAGTAAATATTTTGGTTGTAATAATTTTGACGTATGAAGATGAAAACGTGGTACTGATTTTCATTTATTATTGATGACTTAGCGACTTTAAGTCATGAAAGTGAAAAGATAAAAGGATTTTGTGTCAAATAGATATTGGGCTAAATATGTATTTAACTTGATATAATCTATTATTATACATAAGTTATACCACGCATTACTAATTTACTCAACTTGTGGAAGCAACATGATAATCACTTGCTCTTATAATTTGTGCTACCCATCGAACTTAGATCAAATAAAACCAATCTATAAGCATGCTTAGCTTGAATTGAAATCATTATGTCAATTTTGACCTAGAGTCTATTCAGCTCAAGATTTTAGTCACAAAACTATAACCAAAAAGCACTTTATAGCCATGATCATTCAACTCCTAAATAATCCTAGAGAAGACAAGGGAAAGTAGAAAAGTAGAAAACAATGTAATTGAAACAACATTCAAGCATATTATTGAAATAATTTTACAATTACACAATTTAGCACATCCTCAACACTATTATAAAGCACACCACTTACAAAAACCAGATTATGCATCTAACTTCAACTAATAAGCACTTGACAGTGATACCTAAGCTAAAACATAAATGAAGCAAACAACAACAAGATGAGCTAATCCCACATCCAACTGTTACTTACAAAAAAAAAACATGGGAGAATGAGCTCTTGGTTTCATACCATTAAGTCTCTTGGAAAAGCACAACAAACCAAAGAATTCTTCATCTCAAGCGACATTTTTAGGCATTCTGATAAGTCCACTCCATTACTGGAAGGCACCCATTTGAAGGACTGAAGCAACTGAGCTAGCCAGAGATGAACTGTAGCCAAGGCCATGGCTTTGCCAGGACAAACTCTTCTTCCTGAACCAAATGGTGCCAATCTCAGATCAGATCCCATAATGTTCACATCTTCTGTCAAAAACCTCTCCGGTTTAAATTCATCAGGATCAGGCCAGATAGCTTCGTCATGAGTGATAGCCCACATGTTCACCATTGCTGTGGTGCCCGCAGGAATGAAATGGTTATCCACATGAACATCATGAACGGCAAGGCGAGCCCAAGAGAGAAGAGGACCGGGAGGATGCATGCGAAGGCATTCCTTAACTATGGATTGGAGATAATGGAGGTTGGGAATGTCAGCATCAGAAACAAGCCTTGATACACAGACATCTATCTCAGCTTGTGCTTTCTCTTGGATTTTTGGGTGTAGAATCATTCTTGCTATGATCCATTCAAGAAGAATAGCTATTGTATCAGTCCCTCTAAAGATCATCTCCTGAAATTAATGGGAAATGAAACAACAACGTGATTGTGGTTAGTACTGAAGATAACAAAGCTTCGGGATGATACAACTTGCCAAAGTTAATAAGAGATTATAACAAGGTATACATTCTTCTTACAGAAGAAATGAGGGACTATGAACACCTAGAACATTAGAAGTTATGAAGCTACAAGCCAATACTTCTAAGAGAGACAAATGAGCAAACGCATAGTAGGCAAATAAAATAGAAGGGGAAGAAATAGAAATCATACCCACAGAACAGCAACCATGTCAGAATCAGATAACATCTCCTCATTTTCCAAATCAAGCAAGATGTCAACAAAGTCCTTGATATGCGCACTTCCTACACCAACCCTTCTCCTAATCCTATGCTCCTCTACAATACTTCCAACAAAAGCATTCACCTCTTCAACCAAAACAGCGCACCTCCTCCTAACTCCCTGCAAATCCAACCACCTCAAAAATGGCAAATGATCACTCCAATTCACAATCCCAAGCAACTCATACCCTTCCCTAACCATCCTCTCCAATTCCATCCCCTCACCTTTCCCAAAATCAAAACTTGTTCCAAAAACACTCATCATTATGTTGTTCAAAGACCCAATATGAAGAATCCTCTTAACCTCCACCTCACCATGCTTTCCCATCAAAACTCTCACATCCTCTACCATGTGTTCCCCAATCTCCCGCCGGCCAGTGCCAAAAGCCGCAATTCGGCGCGGACTGAAAAGATGTGAAGAGGAGATTCTTCTCAGATTCCTCCAGTGTTCGCCAAATGGGGCGAAACCAATAGCACGATGAAAAAGGAGTTCGCGGGCGGATTCTTTAATCGGGCGATCTGAGAAGGCGGAAGAATTGAGGATCTCCTTAGAAGTTTCAGGGTGGCTGGAGACGATGAAGCGGGTGAGGCCGACTGAGAAGGACATAAGACGACGAGCGGCTTGTCTGTGGGATAGGGATGAGAGGGTGCGGTGAAGGGTGGTTCCATGAAGAGCAATGTCTCCAGCTCCGGGGATGTGCGAGCGGTGCCAGGAGAAGGACCAAGCGATGCCGCCGGGAGAGAAGATAGCAGCCATGGCGAAGAGGAAGAGAGCAAAGGGAAAAACAGAACAGGTACCTGAGGGAAAGAGG